AACAGAGGGATATAATGCAGGGAATGCAATGGAGCATCGAGGTGGAAAAGACAATGTGGTAGATAGCGCAAAATGACAGAAAGTGAGAGAGACAGAGGTAGGGAGAAAAGGAAGGAGAGAGCAGCCGAGATGGCTGATAAAGCTGAAATACGAAGAGAGTGAGAAATAGACGAAAGACGTGTCTGCTGAAGTCGTGTCGATAGATTCCATTGTCGTTTGTACTCGCATTTATTGTGCCGTTACGACTCTCCGTTCTGAGAGACGGCGCGAAGGAGAGGCTGCTGCCAAGAAACGAGAGTAGAGGAGAGTTTCACGCAACAGGCATGAGAAATGTCCGGGAAGGATGTCACGAGCAGAGAGACACGTCTGAACATCTCTCGTCATTGTAGGGATGGCTTTACGAGACGCATTGCCGCACCTAAAATAGCATTCTGAAAATGTTCGAATATTAGAGTCAAATAACTTCAAGTAAAAAACGAGAAAATTACCGAAGAATATTTATATCGAGCCAAATCTTAATCACATTATGTAATAATCAAATTTTATAAACAAAAAAATGTCATTGCTTGCAATACACTTCCACATTTATTAGAGTTATATTATAGTTTTCATAAATTTCACTCAAAGTCAACCGAGAATTGTGATAATCCTATATGTCTGTTCACTTTCCTGTTTCTCCAAAAGAAAAAAAAAGCTGAGTTAAACCACGGTTTAACGTTAACCAATATTTATGGTATTTTGGCGAAACAAAAGTTCGCCAAATTTCCGCGTGACTTACGAAAGAAAGCAATTAAGCGTACAGCTAATCAAAACGAATGACCCGCGGAAGAGTTGGCGCTCTAACCCGGACAGGCCGACAATAGAGCAGACAAGGCCTCCGGGTTACCTACTTTTAATTGCGAGCACGTTTTACGCTCGACGGAGCGCGCGCGGCACCGGACGAGCTATAAATTTCCAGCCCAAGCGTGTATCCCCGTTGCAACCACCAAACTAATTAGTCCGGCAGTAATTAATCTTTCATCCACTATCAGACGACGCACTTGTCTATTGTCTCGGGAATGAAGTAATCGCCGTGCGATTTCGTATCTCTTCGACCAAACGATCGCTCGGAGAGTTTACTTACAATAATTTCTCGATATTGTGATATCCTGATATTACTTCGATATTGTGTTTTTTAAAGAACCACTTAGGGGCGGAACACAACATCTGATATTAATAATATTTCAATAACTGCGATACAATCATAAATAGTGTTTTAACACATTCGTTATCAAGCTTTACATATGTGTGTATCGATCTCTCGGAGAGATGTACGTATAATTTAGAATTATTTTTAAAAATGTATAATAAAATATATAGAATCTAGAAAAAAATATAATATAAAAATATAAAAATATAAAAATATAATATAGTCTGAGAGACAAAAGTTTTTCCAATTCAACCATGTTAAAACTACGCCCCCATCTTAAGGTTCATTTAGCATAAACAAGTTTTCACTCACGAGTGAATTTCGTCTCGAGTCTCTAATGATGCACAATTACCACAGCGGCGTCGACTTCCACCGTATTGCCCACGACAATTCGCCATCCGGTTGCATCCTGCATGCTCGCAATTAACCCAACACCGTCGCGTCGCATTCTCGAATTTCCCATAAGTGCATTTCGCGTTGTTTATCACTCCTTAATTGACACAAAGCGATAAGATACGTTGTCCCACTTTCTAATGCTTTTCGCAATCGCACCATGAACGTTTATGTAATCTTCCGTATCTAGGATAAAAAATTTAGATATATTTGTTAAATGTTAACTGAGCAAATTTTTTCCGCGTCAGTAAATTGAAAAATCGGAATAAAAATGATACGTTGATGCGTTTTAAATTATAATTATAGAAATAAAAATAAATACGCTTTTACATTTATATATTCCATTTAATAAATATTAGTTATTTCAGGAAAAGGATTTTTTATATAAAAATCTATGAATTTGTAACATATTTTATACTAAATTTATGAAATTTATTTATTTATTAAATTAACAGTCAATTAATTTGAACACAGACATGCGTAGTCTCGACGACACAAAATTTAGTATTTTTTAATTATAATTTTGAATGGTTAAAAAAAATTATAATTTTTTAATTATTTTTTGTCTAGTTACTAATAGATAAACATCGTTTAGGAGTATTTTGACTAAATAAAAATTGCAATTATATAATATTTTTTTCAATAAATTAATTTTAATTTGTCCAACAGGATTATTCGTACTTTTATTATTCGCAATTTCTTATTGATGTCAATTCAGAATTTAATGCAAGGAATCTATTAAAAGTGGTAGGAAAATCATGGAATCTTGAAATACTTTTATATTCGAAGAAGAAAGGAAGTCTCATAACTACGTCTACCGCTGTATTGCGATCCAATTAATCCACCTGATAATTATTTTCTGCCTCCCAAGCGAGAGCGTGCGCGCTTGCTTCGTGAGAATACAGAGCAACGGTGTGCGATCGTAATTATCTGTACTTTATCTAGAAGCGAAACGAAGCTGGGCTCTTATCACAATAGCACATCCCCTATGGTAACGTGGACAATGCACTTCCGGTGTGCGTTTCTCGCACGCGGGACATGGACCGGTTCGTATTTCAATTTGTATCGTTATACTGTGCCACCGTGATATCTCATCACACGCATATAATAGCGATGTCTGGTAGCGGACCGATAGATGCGGGTCGATTGTGAAAGGGAGAGTCGCTCTTCTACTTGTATTCCCGATATTTGTATGTTCCTTCCACGAACACTATACGAGAGCGTATAATCAAATTTACATAAATCAATATTGATATATTAATCCGCTACCTACAATACAGAATTTTGTCTAACGCGATGTCATGGATATATTATTTGAATGGGGACTTTCCTGTTTGGTTTACATAATTAAGATAATGCCTTGCTGAATTATACGTTGTATTGACAGTTACAATTAATAATTAGTTAAACATGCAGGCTTGTTATGATACAAATCATCGTGTCAACTGACTTAAAACAAGTATCTATTTATTTCCGGTTTATAAAAAACAAGTTTTAGCTTTATCACAATTTAACATATTATTCAAGTATTATTTCAATCATGTACATTCAAGAAAAGAAAGCAGCTCTCGAATTTCTTTATATTTGTTAATATTTAATTTAATTATTAGGAAGATTCAACTTGATAGGTCTATACGTCCTATGATTATTTTTTAAAAAAAGTTTTTGTTGATTATATTATACAGTCTAATAAACGTTCAATATGACATTTCTCTAGCTTATCGACTCAAACTTAAAACTTTATATTATCTATTATTTAGTGAAATAAATATGATATATGCGGTTAAAAATATGTATGTTCTAACAGTACGTAAAATATAAATAAGAACTAAAAAGAGAGAGGATTTTATTCTCGGTGGAATACATAAATCATTGCATCGTTTTACGTTTCGTTAAGAAAATAAATTTTTATTAGCATTTCTCTATTCGTTCGTTTAAGAGTTAATAAGACTAGATTTGACAAGATTAGTAGCAATGCGTTAGTAATGATCGTGAGTAACGGAGGAATGCGCTCGTCAAGTGCCAGGGAATTGTTAACACGATCGCGCATCAAAGCGTCACCATCAATGAATGAGAAGGGATACGAGGTCGTCGTCGTCATCGTCAACCTGTAGTAGAATTACTTCCTAGAATCGAATCAATGACATATATATAGCGAGATTAGTCATCCGGCTGATTCATTAATGCCATGCCAATCGAATTAAGGCCGGGCTTTTCTCGCGTGCATTAAGTAGGTCGACCCTGGATGCTGCTGGCTGATTAGCTCTCTCACGGAGTCGGCTGCCGGCATCTCTCTCCCTCTCTCATTTTATATATACGTATATACGTCTCTTTCTGTCTTGCGTCATCATAGTATCGAAGTCGACGACCTAGTTTTTCTCACCTCTGAGGTCAAACGTCAAAGGAGCGTAAAGGGGTCCTCCACCCCTGCGAATACTCTCGTTTATTTACAATATTTACATCGTACTCACGTTTCACGTAAAATTTCATCGACAAGACTTTATTATTTTGCTAATTTTGTATATGCAATGACACGTATAACAAACAATTTGTAGTGCTATATCTTTTAATATTATTCAATATTATGACGAAGATTTTTTAACATTTTATTGAATTTTAAGATTTCATTGACTTCATTGAGTTTATACACGGGGAAAATTTTCTTTTAAAATTTATCCTGAAAATATAGTAATTGTGGTATAATACAATATTTTAAAGATTTTCACCATACACTTCACTAAAATTAATCAAACTTATTTTATACTTTATTGTAATTTTATTAATGAATGAGGGAGATTTACATTAAAATTCTTCGAAATACAATGTTATCCCACGACTATCATATTTTCAGTGTAAACTCTAAAAAAAAATTCTGTCCGTGTATTAAAAATGTTTTTAAAACTTTTGTATGTGCGCTCTCTCGAGTAATTACTAATTATAGTATTATACATTAGCCTAAAACTCTAGATTCTTAAAGTAACAGTTAAATATGTAAACAGATTAAATTATGTTATAATTGTAGCTTTGTTTCGATACTCTTGTTTCGACAAATCCATTTTCCGATGATAATTTCAAAATTTTTGTGCTTAATAAAAGAGGTCGCGGATATTTATAGGATGGTACCAGGGTGCTCGCACAATCCAGGGTGTACCAGAAATCGATGAGCTTTCGTGCGCGCTCGCAGAAGGCAAGCAGTTTCCCTCCCTCCGCAAAATAATAAACCCACTCTGTACCTAATGTATTTCAATATTGCATAATGAATATCAAGTTACACAATAAATACCGTAGAAGTTTTATCTTCGCCTATAAAAGAGCATCGCGTAATAAAAAAAAGTGTATAACAAAAAAGAGAAAATTACTGTCATAACACAACTGTCAACTTTTTATTTATATCGTCTCCTTCTTCTTTTATTTGCAGAAAACAATGAACGGACCAGTTTATGCGTCATCTTGTCCCGCATTGCAGTCGAATCTGTCGCTACACAGCTCATCCTATTACAGCGAATATAGCGGCACCACGCGAAGACGACTATCCTCGACGGGCGAGGCGGATACTTCCGCAACGTCAAGTTACGAAGGTAGTGACAGCTCCGAGAACAGCGATGAGTCTCGTCTCGATCCAGTTAGCCAGGTGGAACGAGAACAGCTCGAGACTTTCTTTCGAGGATTAAAATCACAGGTGAGCTTTGCACAAAATGTAATAAACTACACGTACAATAAACGCGTTGATTAAAAAAATAATAAATTATGGAGGATGTATGAAATAAATCGTATAGATAAGTACTATAAAATCTAGCTGCGAACCTGAATACATTGCTTATGGGATAATATCTTGTGTTTCGTGATTCGCAGGTATTCGTCTGTGAATCACTGGCGAATCTATATCTCGGTAGCGCCTCTCAGACAGAGAGGTGGGAGCTTCGTTTCACTGGAATTCCCGTGGTAGTTCTCGATCTTGGGGAGACACGATCAAGATCCAAGAGACGAATTCAAATCTTATTGGCAGAACGCGGTACTTGCTTCACTCTCTGGCGTGAAACTATCGACAACCTCTCATCGTACAAGGTATTATCGTTGATTGTTCATAACATGCTTGTCTCTAACAATATGTTTTCGAAATGAGGATTATTCTAAATGTATTATTATATAAAATATACGTAATATCCAGTATTAGTAGTGACAAGTGATTAGTATTCTCATACTACAATGTAACATTCAAGAGGTAATGTTAATGACAGACTACAACCTAAATAATTCATTTACGTGTTCAAGCTTGTTTATCTCGTTAGATAGATTACGGAGTACTACATTACAAAGCGGATTAAATTTCAGCATCGGACATTTAATACCGTTTCAAATTTCTTATGTGCTTGCCAGACGAAATAAAACACAAGTGATACGGCGTAGTATGAATCGTGCAAGTATTTTTTAAATCTTTAGAGCGATGTCAAAGGAATTGCTCGTAGCGGGAAAATACGATTTGTATTACATTACCTTCGATCTTTCGCATTCTATGAGATAAAAGCACTCGAAATATTTGCAGGTGTCGGGGCCAGCCTTCCACACGATGTGTCTCTCGTCGGATCACACTCGCTTAGCTGGGCTCAGTTTCGATAACTCAAAGGCGGCGAACGATCTGTGGCAACACATAGAGCGTCTCGTGTCCTGCCCAGAGAACATCAGCCTATCGGCTCCGGGTAAGAAGAAGAAGAAACCAGTGCAGAAGAAGGTAGTGCTGCCGGCCAAGAGCAACATCAGTCAACCGTGCCAGTTCCAGCATGTGACTAGCGTGGACGCAGCCGATCGTTCGCGTTACTTCTCGCTGCAGACGCTGGTACCAGCACTGAGTGAGCTGGAGAGCTCGCTGGAAGCGAACTTCTGAGACAAGCCTGACGCCTCCAAACTCTCATAGGGTCGACGGAGCGCGACGCCTGACCCCCGCCTTCTTCTTCGGAAGTAATCGCACCGACGAAGAAGGATCCGGTTAATGTCGCGTGCGAGAGAACAGATAAAATCTATAAAGACACTCGCACACAGGCGTCTCGGATCGCGAATTTTGAGAGCTGTCGAAGGGAGGCGAATAATGGAAAGCGACATCGCGGATTCCATCGAAAATTCTTTTATCTTCTTGCTCTTCCTCCGAAGTAGTTATAGAAGGTCTAAGACCCAAGACGGGGAGGAGATATATCGACGAAGCTTTAACGACAAAAAGAGAAGGCGGATACTTTTCTCGAAGAGCCCTTGCGGCTCTTGTAGTTTTACTTGAATTCATCTTTATCTTCTCTCGTGTCTCTCCCGATATAATCAGCCAACTAGTTAGTAAGAATTAAGTCGCGCTGAATTTCGATTCCGCGTTATCCTTGTTCTCGCGCATCGACCGGATCAATTTCCCGATATATGAGGAACCAAGAAATCGAACTCGAAGGATCTCGGAGAGACAAAGAAGCGCGAGCAATTTGTGACGCGACAAGAGGAAGGAGATTCGTGTCTTCTCCGAAGACTAATCCGTTAGTGTCACGCGCGCAAACTGCGAGATTGTCCGCAGACCAAGGCGGAACATTCATCAATCCTTCTAAGTACTCTTGAAAGTGACTGCGATTGATGTTCGCCCAGCTGCGAATTCTGACTGCAGCTTCGGGCGAAACAGAAAGTATCCTCGAGGCTTTCTGGTGAGACTCTACAGTCTCATCCCACTCTCTTTCTTTTCGAAGAGTCCTTCAAGTTGTAACTATCGATGTCGTGAGATTTATTATAGACGCAAAGAAAGTCTTTATCGAACGTTACGGCGATAAATGATCTATTCGTGATAAACGTTCTCGCACCCGGAGAACACTTTTGATTAGATTATTTCATTATTATTAATACACCGCATGAATATCTGGTGTTAAACTTTTAATTTTTGAATAAAGTAGAAAAATAAAATTAATCAAAATAAAAATTGAAGGCAATGATATGTAAATGATAGAAGTAGATTCACTTTAATTACGTATATATAATACATTTACGGCCTTTTTACTTCGTGTAAAGTAGAGAAATTTTTGTTTATATTTTTATTTCGCGTGTACGATGGTTCTACGTACCTATCTTAAAGGATCTTTAGAGATTCAAGAAAGCAGGACGGCCGATCGTCTTGTCGCACTTTACAATTCGAATGCGGCGATGTAATGTGAGGGGAAGAACAAGCGCTTTCGTAATGGAATGTCAAAGACGCGAAACCTTGACACGAAAACCAAACAGCGGAGCATGCGATTAGAAAGAATCATGCAAATATATGCAAAATATATTTCCGGGGGCATCGTATCGATTGTATGCACATTGTTGCTATTCACTGCAAAGAGAAAACTTTCTCGTTATCGAGTAGAAGAATTGTATGGTTCTTCCGTATGGTTTGTAATTAAAGACGCGCGCTGCCGCGGTGAAAACGATGTTTAAGAAACTTCCAAAGCATGATCTGAATAATTGTGTCATTATAAAATTAAGTTTAATGCTTTCCCGTTACAAAATTAAGTTTAATGCTTTCCCGTTACAAAATTAAGTTTAATGCTTTCCCGATTGCATTCACCGTAAAATGCCAATAACTTTAGAAAGAAAGACTTAAAGATGAAATGGCAATTATCTTCGTAATTGAAGAAAAAATCTATTTGCTTTACTGTTGATCGAAGAAAGACCTGTCGCTAATTCGCTGTATGTTGCAGTAACATGGCTTTAGATCAGCGAAGAGTTGGGGCGTTTCAAAATATTATGACATATAGTAATTGAAATAATGTTAGACAAGACGTCAAAAAAGAAACTGACACAATCGAAACGAAGAGCCAGTTCTTCGTAATGTAGAATGTTAACGTAAAACAAGTCATTAACGTCTCTATGTTGTGGATTCGTAATTATAAGTACGAAAAGATTGATGCGCGATTTCAGTAAGCGACATAGGAGTCGATAAATCAAGGAACGAAATACTGCCGAACATTGAAATGCAAAATAAACTAAGATTAAAAGCGACGGCGAGTACTGGAAACAATTATTGTGCCAAAACAGTGATCGAGTCAATAAGATAACAGATTTTAATTAATTGATATTCGAAGGTTCGAGTATCATGCGCTTCCACTTGACATAAGACTTGAAAAGCCAATCCACATCATAATTAAGATTATTACAGCAAATTGACCAGCGTATTTCCAGGCTCGTAACGCTCGCTTAACACATTACGATGTTAATTAGATTACTAATTAGGTAGAATTAGTCGGATTGACGTGTCCATTTATAGCAAATCCTACTTCCTACCCCTCGAGTCGTTAATGTGTCCGTAGATTTCGGTAGAAATTCTCGATCTTGATGTCGACAACGTGTACGCTTGATAAAATGTTAAACTATGAAGATCTACAATCATCAATTCTATCCAAGTGAAATAATATTAAAGAACTGATTTTTAATTAAACGTTCTTGGGTCAAACTGGGACGTTCCATATTACAGTGTAAATGTTATCCTTGCAAAGACAATTTAACTTTATATCTCGAACTTTATAATTCTCCATAAATATTCTTTTAATACAATCGATTATATCTTTTTAATTTCATATTAAAGTAGCCTTTTTCAATCTTTCTTTCGTATTATTTCACTTAGACGTACTTGGTCCATAACTAAAAATGAAGATAAGTATTTTTCCCGAGAAAGTCGCGCGCGAGAATGTCGTTTTACGACATATGTAAGAAGACTGGTTTCACCATCCCGCGAATATAGGAACAGTTAACAATAGGTACCTATGTAGTAATAGTGTCATTAAAACTTGATTTTATCCTTGCGATCATATACGCGAACGTCCCTTCAGCATCATCCTCGTTTATCGCTTCGAAACTTCTGTTTCGCTGGGCGGAGAAACGCGCTTATATCCATTGCGAATCAAACTTTTAGTAATTAAGATTAATTAGCGTGTCACTATATTTAAGTTAGGCTCGCCCGGAAGAATTTTTTATCATATTATATCCGAGATGTATGTAATGCTTTTTGCAGGATTTATACGCACACTTTGTGTCACGTGAGTCGTAAGTTTTTTTCAAGAGAAAATCTGGGCGATTATTCTAGGCATTTAAATAAATACTGTAACTTCGAATTAATACTAATTTCATTATCTACGACTGTGATATAAATATATGTATTTGTATCGTTACGTTTCGTAACATGTATTCGCATTAATCAATCACTTGGAGACATAAGTTTATGAATATTCTATGTAACGATAATTATTGTGCTAATAAATAGTAACTTCATGAAACAAAAAAATATTTGTCCAGATTTACTTACTACCTTTTAAATTATTAATTAAAAATCTATACTTATACATTTTTTCCATATAAATGCAGCTCTGCGAAATTATCATTACTAATAACAGTTTATGCATTAAATAAAAATATAATTCTTTTCCACATTTTTTAAATTTAACGTATACTTAAACTACTTTTACTTCCTTCTTTTTATTTTATAATTAAAAAGAAAAAAATTTATGGACGATTGTAAAATAAGTTCGTGTGAATATAACGCGAAAAAGTAAGAACGTATATTTTATAAATATTATATTGAGACTAATTTCTCTTAAATTTATATTGAATTTTAATTTCCGCTTTTACTTCATCTACATCAACTACATAATCTGTATAATTTATTCTCATTCTTATTTTTCTTGTTAGTTTTAATCATATTGTATCTTGTTTTCCATCTTTGTTTTCTATTTTTCCTCAACCATTTATTGTTTAATCATTTATTATTAAAAAGCAAGTGTATGACATAAATGTACATAATAAATGTATTATATTAAGATCTGTTATATATATATATATAAATTATTCTCTTTATTCTGTAATATCTGCCGATAGGATATCAGTGGATACAACGAAAATTATTTTCCATTCCTATCTCATCGGTGAATATACCATTATTCGGTATTATATACTTCCTACAAGATAAAAGCACACAGTTTCTTGACTAATCAGTTCCAGAGATTTTGCAGAAACCAACTTTATCGAATGGCGTTGACGTTCACTACGAAAATCTCTTATCCAATTCTACCGAGTTCATCTATAATGATACAATCGATTAACATTTTAGACATCGTTAATAAAATACTGATGTTTTGAATAACAAATATTATAAAATAGTTGAACACTGATTTTAATGTATTTCACGTTCTACTCTTTTAATGTAAGGTAAAATGGAACATCACTAAGTTCTTTTCAAATTGTTCCATGTAGATGTAAATTGCATCAACTTATCGTAAAATTTCATTAATAATTCTTAATTTTGTTTATTTCAAAATCAGAAATGAAGAAAAGACTAATATTCCTACAAGCTAATACATGATTTATAATAGGTATTATTCGTTATGAAAACCAATACTTGAACGCCTATAGTTGTAAGAAGGATCGATAAATCACGATAACACATATTAAAGATATTTCCTCCGTATCGATCTATGGCGAATAAATCATAATGGTCCGAAAATATATTACGCACCACCTCACTGTCAAAATCGCGATATGTATCTCACGTTTTGACGCGCTTGTACTTTATCCTCATCACATATAGGAGGAGGCCACCTATGTATCTGGGTGCTCCAGATAGATGCGTCTGATATGAAATCGGTCGGTTGTCGAGCCAGGTCCTGAACCGAGTAATGAGAGACCCAGTGCCGCCTCCCGTGTATTTCGTCCTCCCTTGTTGTTTATAAGATTCGTCGGATTTACATCAGAGCGATCGTAATCATGTGGATCTCGAAGGGGCGAACGCGAATGAGTGGGTGGATACGATACACTTGTTCTCGAATGTTAGAAGTATGGGAAAGATCTCAGCACGGTGGCTCTTAAAAACATTTTACGTTTATCCGCACAGAAAATTATTAAATTAACGAAAATCAAAAGAGAGGAATTTAATTAAAATCGTTCTTTTTCTTTTAGAATAAATAAGTATAGTATCCACATGACAAGGTTTTTAGGAGATGTAACAATATTTAAAACGTATTGAGGTATAGTTATGTGGATCCAAATACAAATTTATTTTTCAGTTAATATGAAAATATCATTTTGCTAAATTTTATTTTGCTAAATTTATTAAATAAATACTGCGAAATATGTAGAACAATATTCACTGACAATAATTCATTTACAGAAAAAAAACCGTTAATAAAATTTTTCAATTTTGTTCTAGTTAGATTAAATTTAACTGTTCTGGAAATTTAATTTGTAAATTTATTCTGTGTATGTTTGTTAACATTTGATAAACACTACAAATGGAATTATATAGATATTTAAAGATATATGTATAACAAAGTTGATAAATTCAAGTTTTTTTTCCTTATTCGAGTAGATATAATGATAAGGCATTCTTAAATGTGAATAATTAAACTTTTCACCTCTAATACACTTTTTCATTATATATTTATATATTCGTGTAATTAAAAAGCGACGTGTATAATGCTAGCATTATTTTAGAAATATTTAGAAAAAAATGTAATACTTAATACTGATTATTATACATAAATGCACAAACTCGGACCAAATGTCAGAAAAAAATCACAGCACGGTCGAATAAAAAAGAAACAATCATTAACGAGACGCGTATATAATTTATATACTGTAATAAAAAAGATTTTTCCCCAGAAAAATAGCTGGTTTCGTATATTGAAATTAGTATGCTAGTCAATGCACTGATATTCCACAGCGATTATTCGAGAGGGCGGACACCATCGGCAGTATCCTCATAAAGTTAACGATCGACCAATGTTTTGTTCTCATCCTCCACAAGCCAACGAATAAACGTTGCGGCTAAGAAAAAGAAACGATAGAGTACAATATAAAGAATTCGGAACCATTAACTTTTT